GGGCGGCTTGTTTTACAACGTCGTTGCCAGCGACGAAAACCCAACCCCGATGGTAAACACCGGGGGGGACGAGGGCCTTGTTTTACAACGTCGTTGCCGAAAAACGAAAACCCAACCCCGATGGCAAACACCGGGGGTGGCGGCTTGCTTCATAACGTCGCTGCCAAGCGACGAACACCCAACCCCGTGGCAAACACCGGGGGGGGTTGGTTGGGTGGCGGGAAGGGGGGGTGTACTCATAGTCGTGCATGCCGTAGTCGTTAGACCATTGACCTCGCATCCCTACAAAGCCGGGACGGAGCACGCCGGGTTCTCACCGGACCAGGCTCTCACATCACCAAGCGCGAAGCGCCGTGAGATATTCGGCGAGTCGCATGAAGGGTGCGCTGCATCCTGCTAAGGGTGTTCGGCATCTTGTGCTTACTTCCTTGCGTACGGATGACAGCTGCGTATGACTAAATTTATTTTCTGGTGATCACTTCCAGAGCCAGTTGTAAGCACCGTGTAACTGCCTCGAGGGCGCTTGACCACTTCAACACGACGTGGTGCGATCATCCCCCTTGCGCGAAGTGAGGGATCTCCACCTCGCACAACATGATCTACTCGACCACCATTATATTTACCGCCAAAATACACAGAGGTAAAAAAACGGTAAGCTGGTTGCCGAGTTCACGAAGTGAATCGGCTTGTCTACAACGTCGTTGCCAAGCGACGAAATCCCAATCCCGATGGCAAACACCGATGAGGGGCCTTGTTTTACAACGTCGTTGCCAGGCGACGAAAACCCTGCCCCGATGGCAAACACCGGGCGGGGCGGCTTGCTTCACAACGTCGTTGCCAAGCGACGAACACCCAACCCCGATGGCAAACACCGTCCTGGTTGCCGAGTTCACGAAGTGAATTAGCTTGTTTTACAACTTCTCTGCCAAGCGACGAAAACCCAATCCCGATGGCAAACACCGGGGGTGTACTCATAGTCGTGCAAGCCGTAGTCGTTAGACCGTTGACCTCGCATCCCTACAAAGCCGGGACGGAGCACGCCGGGTTCTCACCGGACCAGGCTCTCACATCACCAAGCGCGAAGCGCCGTGAGATATTCGGCGAGTCGCATGAAGGGTGCGCTGCATCCTGCTAAGGGTGTTCGGCATCTTGTGCTTACTTCCTTGCGTACGGATGACAGCTGCGTATGAATTAATTTATTTTCTGGTGCTTTCACTTCCAGAGACAGTTGTAAGCACTGTGTAACTGCCTCGAGGGTGCTTGACCATTTTAACACAACGTGGTGCGATCATCCCCCTTGCGCGGAGTGAGGGTTCACCCCGCACAACATGATCTACTCAACCATCATTATGGTTACCGCCCAAAAAAAATAAACGGAGGAAAAAAAAAAAAACGGTAACCTGGTTGCCGAGTTCACGAAGTGAATTGGCTTGTTTTACAACGTCGTTGCCAAGCGACCAAAACCCAATCCCGATGGCAAACACCGGGGGGGGCGGCTTGTTTTATAACGACGTTGCCGAGCGACGAACGCCCTACCCCGATGGCAAACACCGGGGGGGGTGGCTTGCTTCACAACGTCGTTGCCAGGCGACGAACACCCAACCCCGATGGCAAACACCGG